AAAGGAAGTTCTCTAACTCCCTCGCGTTCCTTGAACCTCCGAAGTTCTTCGGTCTTGGAACATCAGCACGTGGGACGGATTGCACCGGGGCTGGTCCGCTAGCCATGGCTCTCTTCACGAGAGTGACCTCACTCTTGAGGTCTGCAATCTCCTCCTTCACGCCGACCAGCTCAGCCTGGACTTGCTCTTTCACAACTTCAAGGGCGTTGTTCATGGAGGCGGTGATGGTGTTGTTGATGAGGGCCACAAGCTCTTCCCGCATCCCATCATGGTTGATCTCCAAGGTTGTCAACCTACCCGCCATTCCTTGAACATCGCTTTTGACTTGGGCGAAGTTACCTCCCAAATCCTCGATGGTAGTGATATCTTCCGCCATCTTCACTTCCATCCTCGAGACTCGCCTCTCTAGAGACTTGAGAGGATCACGAGTGCTCGACGTACCTTTTCCTCTCTGGCCCGGTGTGGGCTCTCTTCCACGCGGCTTTTCAGCATCGTCGTGAACTTCTGATCCCGACATTTTTGGTGAGGTTCTTCCTTTCCTTCTGGCTCTAGGTTCAACTTTGCTTGCACAAAGCCGAACCAGGCTCTGATACCACTTGTCACGACCTTACTCTCGATCGTGCGGCCCTAGCTCTCAAATCCGTTAGAGCGCTAGGCAGCCTTTCTCTCAACTCACTTGAAAGCAAAGAACAAGAACAAAGAGACAAAGGATTGGGAGAACTCTCTAGTGTGTATTACTCTAAAAAATGATGGAATGAGTTACAAGTGAGGGAGATGGCTCCTTATATAGGTCTCTCCTCATACAAGGCATCAATGCCCCTCATAATGTCCCTCTACTACATCAATACACCCATTAAGTCCCCCCATTATGCACTCTATAAATACTACCATAATGTAGCTAATAAGTGCACCATTAAGCTCTCTATTAAGGTGGAGAATCCTAGGAGCATCTCTATGCTACTAGTCTTCCATGCATGACACATGTGCAGCCTTGTTGTCACCTTGTTGGCGCCATGTCATCGGCCACATGTGACAATGGTCTATGGAAAGTTGCTGACCTGCGCATTTTCAAACATGCATGGAGAGTTTTGACAAATTAGATCAATGATGATGGCTTATGATCATGTCTGTTGGAAATTTGCAACTTGGGTCAAAACTGACCGTCGTCTGGACCAACGGGTTACACATTCCACCTAAGTTCTTCACCGCCATTGAAGCGGAGAGATATACGTCTCTCTCATCACCATAACGTTCGACTTTTTTTTTTTCTTTCGAAAACCATAACGTTGTAGACTTTTAGTTGCATGGGCAAACAATGCAAAGTTTACTCAAAATATATCGTGGTTTGATCCCCACCGCAAAGATCTGGGTCAGCCCTTCATATTATTAAATCAAACAGCGTACATCTCTTCTGTGATATATCCTACAATATCTCGTATATAATTTGTATCCGGCTGTTTTTAATATCTATGACAAAAAAATAAAAATCAGTAGTGTAAAGGTTACATAACAGTTGATCAAAGGTGTCATGTTAAAACAACGACAATGGCTTTGTACTTTATGTAACTTCACGCAGATTCTCATTACGTACAAATATAATTTATTGCCAAATATTTAAGTAATGTTATTCTACAACTATTACATAAGCTAAGCACATCTTGCTTAGGCATTATGTACTGAAATTCTTACCTAAGTATTAGTTCATATAAATATAATTAATTTTGTCTTTATTTATTCATATAATTTTGTATTTATTCACGTTGATGTTATTCACTCAATACTAATGATTACTCATGCAGTTTGGTGTTAATCACGTCATTGTAAAATTAATTTTTATATTATAAAATATATTAAAATGTATGTAGATGATGATAAATGCTAATTTATTTTTAACAAAAGAAAAATGATAAATTCAAATTTAAATACATGAAATATTCTCAAGACAAATTATTAGATGGAAAAAGAGAAATTTTGAAGTTCCATTTAATATAAATAAACACTAAATTTTATTTAATAATCACCAAATAACGTGAATGGACTCGATATAGAATGTTGCTGTCATGTAAGAGTGATTAATTCTTCCTTCAAGCGAAACGAAGCTCCACTGCCACCCATCAAGACGATTCTACAATTTCACAATAATAGGATCCCAAGCCGCCATGTTGGGCCTAGGACAACCCAAAGGGATCCCCAGATAAGTTTTTGGCACGTAGCCCTAGTTGCATCCAAAGAGATTAATTAGCATATAATTGAGAATTTAGGCTGGGGAAAAAGCTATTTTGTGTTTAGGTTTTGGAGAAGAAAGCGAAGAATGACTGAATAATACGAGGATAGATTAAGAAACTGAAGTCATTCTGCAGCCATTATGCCTGCGATTTGGAAACTACAACCGAAGAACAAAATAAAGAAAAGAAACTCGACCAGAAAGATGGTCGGAAAACGAAGAGCCTAACAATCTTCCCACTTCCTATCTACCCAGAATCACTCTCTATAGACAAGAAGACTGAAGATTGATCTAAGACCCGAACCCTTGACAACCCAATAGTTTTGCTATTCAAGCTGCAACCGTTACTTTGCTCTTGATGTGAGGAGGACTTTAAATAGGCATCGAGAATCAGGACCGTTGTGGATGAACGTTGAGGTAGCCATGCTTTTGACAAGCACAAGAGCGTAGGAGAGCTTGGTGCTTGGAGAAAGTGGTTCTGTGTCTTTTGAGGTTTGAGGAGGAAGATGAAATCTGGAGGATAAGGCTGACCACGAAACCACGAAGCTCCAAGCAGTCTGAAAGATTGCTTCGTTATCCTCTGCCGACGTCGTATTGAGCTTTGTCTTAAGCGCGTCGTTTTGGTTGGAAGAGGAGTCTCCAGCGGCGTCGTTCAGTGCTTTCTACGGCGGCGTCGTTTTGGTTGGTGGAGCTGAGTCCTTTAGTTTCACAATAATGGCTTGCGGAGATGCTCCACATTCCCAACAAGAACCATGACATTTTTCAACATTAATTCTAATTAACACCGAAACAGATTGAAAACAAACTAGTGTACCAAGCAGATTCAGTAACTTGATCTTCATTTGCTTCCCAGACGATTATCGTGTGGTCGGCATAAAGAAGATGAGTCACCTCACCCCTGAGCCCTGCTTCATCTATTCTATATCACGAAATAAGTCCAGCCTCCTTTAAAGCCCCAACTCTTGAATGGTTTTGAATTGACAAATCCAATTGACATTATCACATGCTTTCTTAATGTCCAATGCAAATATCAAACCTGGTTTCCCCACTTTTTCGCCTAGAATGAAGAGGTTGAACATGTAATTTCTACTATTACACCAGCCAAGTACACTTTATATTGATTATATCGAGCACGAATGGAGCCAGAATTTTAGGACCGAATGCAACATTATGTCCTTGCAAATAATCATTAATATCATAACTAAATCGAAGTATGAACCGATATAACAAATGGTTCACAATTTATTAAACCGTCAAAAACTGTTAACAAGAATCACTAATAATGCTTAGGGGAAGAGTCTTGTTTCAAAAATTTGTAGCTTTAACTAGGGGTGTTCAAACGGATTGGTTATCGTGGTAACCATATTAACCGGTAGCATTTGGTTAGTTTGGTTTGGTTAATTTGGATAGTTGGTTTGGTTTGGTTAAACAATTTAGCTTATTTGGTTTAGGTGGTTTGGTTTCAACACTGCTAACCAATGGAACCAATTAACCAATTAATGATACACCTAATATACAAAATTATTAATACTTTCATGCAACCAACCAACCCAAACTTTCGTGATTCCCTATTTTATTTCCATGTGCAACAAACCAAAACATTATGGATAAAAAATTAAATGGGTCTGCCTATATTTACTAAACCAAACATTTTGGACAACTACTAGACTTTAGGATTACATACAATATCATGACAACCACCACAAACTATGTATAGTTAAGTGTTTTGTATGAGAGCTTTAACTTCCTAATGAGGGGTATTGGTATGTATTTATGTTAAGATTTTTGTTGTAAGCTACCTATATTAGGTGCAGAGATGATGAATGATGTATTAACTCGAATGATGATGATAATTATGGATGGTTAGTCTTATTATTTTTGCTAATATAAAATGATAATTTATGTTTGTTTTCATGTAATCTTATGTTATTTGGTTAATTCGATTATCCGATTAACCAAACCAATTAAACTTTGATTTGGTTAATTTGGACGGTTTGGTTAAGATATTTAATTTCATGATTAATGAAATTTAGGATTAATTGATTTGGTTATTACTACGGTAATCATTTGAACACCCTTAGCTTTAACAAGGACATTTTGTCTTCATTTAATAGAATCTCTAGCTGAGCAAAATGAAGAGGATGCTGATTTCCTCGTTTTACTGTTTTTTGTCTTATATGGACAGTACTTCTTCATAAGCCATCACCATTGAACTAATTTTTCCAGTTTTTTGAAAACGCAAATCGAGACAAACCACAGCAACCAGAACTGAATTATGTGCCAACGTAGAGAGCTTCAACTTTTCTGCTTTTATATAGTCTGCAAATTCCTACTTAGGGCAAACTAATTAATTAAGGTGACTCTTTATTCCTCGTTTAGATAACAGAGGACTATTTACGTAGCTACCCGTGAAAGCTCATTTTCTCCCTTCTAGAATTCCTGTTATCTTTTCTTGACCTAAGAATAAGATCCGTTTTTTTTTATAATTTCATAAGGAATAAATAAGAATTCTTTATACTTTCTTAATGAATAAATCAGATTTTTAAAAAATAATTTCTTGACCTAATACCCTTGACTAGCCACATGCTTTCCCTTCGACAATTGTATTTCGGTTTTACTTATATCTCTTTCCACGTGGGCGGCGCCATGCATGCATGCTAAAGCCGATCACCAGGCCACCTATTTAAACATTTCCCACCCCACGCTTCTCTTTTCATCCCACAAACTAACTAACTAATCAATCCTCCATAGCCAACCAGCTCGACCATCTACAGCCATGGATCTTGCTTCAATACTCTTCGCACTTTCGGGAGTCCTCTTCCTTCTGATCCTCCACAGGCTGGTGGTCAACCCTAGCAACGGAAAAAACAAAACCTTGCAAATCCCAGAAATCCCAGGAAGCTTGCCCTTCATTGGCCACCTCCACCTCCTCGGCGGCGAAGACACGCTGACCAGGAAGCTGGCTTCCTTCGCCGACAAGCACGGCAGCATGTTCACCATCCGCCTCGGCGCATACCCCACCGTGGTGGTCAGCGACTTCGAGTCCATGAAGGATTGCTTCGTGAAAAACGACAGAGCCCTCGCCGCCCGACCTCCTTCCACGCAGGGCAAGATCCTCGGCAAGAACTTCGCCGTCTTCGGGTTCGCCTCCTACGGCGAGTACTGGCGCAACGTCAAGAAGCTCATCATCACCGAGATCATGTCCCTCCCCAGGATCAGGGCCCTCAGGCACGTCCAGGTCTCCGAGGTGGACGTCCTGATCAGGGACCTCCACCTCCAATGCAGCCAGCAGGCTGATCACCAGGTGGTGGTGATCAGCGACTGGCTGCAGAACTTCGTTCTCAACATCATCACTAGGATGGTGGCAGGGAAGAAGTACTTCGAGGACCTGGCAGACAGCGTCGGTCTGCAGGCCGACGCTGGAGGCCGCCCCGTCGGGGAGCTCATCAGGGAGTTCATGGACGTGAACGGGTCGCTCGTTCTGTCGGATCTGATCCCGATCCTTGGGTGGATCGACATCAAGGGGATGAAGAAGGCCATGAGGAGGATCTCAAAGGAGCTGGACGTGATCGTGGACGGTTGGATCGACGAGCACAAGGTGAAGAGGAACAAGTTGGGTGACAACTTGGTCCCTGAGGATTTCATCGACGTCATGCTCTCAGTTGTCGATGACAACTTTGACCCTTCTTCCAACCATAACAAGGACACCATCATAAAGTCTACCGCTATGGTAAGTTTACGTGCTAACCTATTTCTTTTGACTTTAGGAAAAAGAAGAAAAAAAGTTTGTCACATAACGATATGTTTTATACGCAACTTACCCATGCCGTATTTTACTAACTGTGGATTTTATATATAGGCGGTGATCATTGCGGCGGCGGACACGACGTCCGTGACGCTGACGTGGATGCTGTCGAACCTCCTGAACAACCGGCGAGCCATGGCGGCGCTGAAGCAAGAGATCGACGAGAAAGTAGGGAAGGACCGGATCGTCGAGGACTCGGACCTCGAAAACCTGACGTACCTACACGCCGTGATAAGGGAGACGCTGAGGATGAACCCGGCGGGGCCGATCTCGGTGCCGCGCGTGGCGTCGGAGGACATCACCATCCGTGGCTACCACGTGCCGAAGGGGACGCGCTTCTTCGCCAACTTCTGGAAGCTTCACCGGAACCCGGAGATGTTTCCGGAGCCGGACGAGTTCAGGCCGGAGAGGTTCCACGAGAAGGAGGTGAAGGTGGACATCTACGGGAGGGATTTCGAGTACCTGCCGTTTGGGACCGGGCGGCGGTCTTGCCCGGGGATGAACTTCGGGATGCAGGTGGTGCAGCTGACGGCGGCGAGGCTGATTCAGGCGTTTGACTTTGGGACGCCGTTTGACCTGCCGGTGGATATGACGGAGGCCGACAGTACCACGCTCGCCAAGGCGAAGCCGCTGGAGGTCGTGCTGACCCCACGTCTTTCTCCCGAGCTTTACCGCCTGCCTTGATTATTATTTATTTAATTAATTAGGAGTTAATCATCTTATCCAGCCGCCGCCGCCAGCCAGCCAGATCGTAATTAATTGTTTTTTAATTAATTAATGATATAATATAATATAAGATAATAACCAGGGTCCTGGGTGTGTTAAGATATCACGATTTGAAGAACATAAACATAAACGACACGAGATTTAACGTGGTTCGGCCTTTCAGAAAGACTTTACTCCACGGCGGCTAATGATGTTCTCTTATTCGTTAATCAACCATAAAGCCAAAGTAAGGCTTTTATAGTTGTCGAGTACGTTAGAGACCTTAGCCACAAAGCCCTAACGTAATTACTCTCCAGTCCACACAGCCATACATAATTACAAAAAGATCCCAAATATTTACATATTCCAACATCCCCCCTCAAACTGATGGTGCCTGTCGCAACATCAGTTTGTGTGATAAGAACCAGTGACGACTGGTAGAAACAGCTTTAGTAAGAAGATCTGCTGTCTGGTCCTCTGTCTGCAAGTACTGAAGCTGCAACCACCCTTCAGACACCAACTGCCGAATATAATGGACGTGAATCTCAATATGCTTTGTCCGCTCGTGAAGAACAGGATTGGTTGCAATCCGAATAGCACTCATATTATCAGCATACAAACGGATAGGAAGAGAACAATCTATCCCCAGCTCAAGAAGAAGACGATGTAACCAGACCAATTCAGAACTAACTTCAGACATGGACCTGTATTCAGCTTCAGTAGAGGATTTGGAGACACGATCTTGCTTCTTACACCGCCATGAGATGACAGATGAACCCAACTGAACACACCAACCCGAGGTAGAACGACGAGTGTCGAGACAACCTGCATAATCTGCATCGGCATAGGCAGTAAGAGACAAGTTTCCAGAAGATGGGAAATACATACCAACCTGAGAAGTACCACTCAGGTAACGAAGAATCCGATAGACTGCAGTAAGATGGCTAGTACGAGGAGAAGCCATGAACTGACTAACAATCTGTACGGCATACGATATGTCAGGACGGGTGGAGGTCAAGTAGATCAAGCTACCAACAAGACTTCGATATAGAGAGCCATCACGAGAGGAAAGGGGATCCCCACTCGAACTGCAGAGCTTGATATGTTGTTCCATAGGGGTGACTGCAGGTTTACAATTAGCAAGCTGAGCTTGCTGTAAGAGATCAAGAATATACTTATGTTGAAAAACAAATATCCCATGAGTCGAACGCTGAACTTCTAAGCCTAAGAAATAGGCAAGATTGCCCAATTCTTTAAGGTTAAAAGCTTTATGCAGTGTCTGTGTCAATTCCTGAATACCCGCAGTATCGCCACCAGTGACAATCATGTCGTCGACATAAAGAAGAAGAACGGTTAACCCCTGAACTGTAGAACGTAGAAACAAAGATGGATCATTAGAACTCTGAACAAACCCAGCCTGCAAGATCGTAGCATGAAACTTTTCAAACCAGGCACGGGGCGCCTGTTTCAACCCGTATAATGAGCGATTAAGTAAGCAGACCATAGAACTATCGCCCTTAGTGTATCCCGGAGGCCGCTCCATGTAAATGGTTTCCTTCAAATCACCGTGCAGGAAAGCATTTTTCACGTCAAGTTGAATCAAAGGCCAGTTCTGTAATGCGGCCACAGCGAGAAGAGTACGTACCGTTTGCATTTTAGCAACCGGAGCAAAGGTGTCTTCATAATCAATCCCGAACTCTTGTTTAAACCCCTGAGCAACAACTCGAGCTTTAAACCTTTCCAACGAACCATCAGGATGAAGCTTAATCGTGTAGACCCAACGGGAACCGATCACGGTCTGGTGAAGGGGACGAGGTACGAGCTGCCATGTATTCTGAGCTTCCAACGCATCCGTCTCTTCCGTCATGGCTCGATCCCAATTCTCATTACCACAAGCTTGACGATAGGAAGTGGGAATGGGAATGGAAAATGCATCAGTAGCAAAAACATAAAAGTCATTGGAGCGGGAAGGAGGATGCCCAAAGTTGGCGCGGGTAGAGCGCCTCAAGCCTTGTGGTGCTGGCGGAGGAGAAGGTGATGGGGACGAATCAGAGGGGTGCAAGGAGGCACTCGACGTAGCACTGGAAGAGGATGATGCCGACACGGACGAATCGGCAGACTCGGACGGTGTCAAAAGCGAGGGTCCAGGAGAGTTAAAGGAAGCATCGGAACTGGATGCCGAAGTAGACTCGGATGCGGAAGATGATGTAGGATCGAGATCAGGAGTAGATGGTGATGACGAGGAGGACGGAGCCATCATCTCGAGCATGGTAGCAAGAGGTAAGGACTGGAGAAAGTCAACGTCGGGCGGTGAAGAAGAGGACAGCTTGTAGTGGAGAACATGTTCCATGAAGACAACGTGGCAAGAAATCCGAACTCGACGAACTGCCACATCATAGCAAATATAACCTTTATGTCGATCGCTATACCCAATGAAGACGCAAGTAGCAACTTTAGGCTCGAGCTTGTGACGTTCTTTGACCGGAAGCAGAACAAAACAGCGGCAACCAAATACACGCAATCGCATATAGTCGGGTTGCTTGCCGAAGAGTAGGAAATAGGGCGATTGTTGTTGCAGAACAGGAGTAACTTGTCGATTAATCAGATAGACGACAGTATGCACTGCCTCGACCCAAAAACCAGAGGGAACATTAGAATGGATAAGGAGGGCACGAGTAAGATCGAGAACATGCCGATGCTTACGTTCAACCAATCCATTCTGTTGCGAGACACCTGGGCAGGAAAGCTGAGATATAATACCATGCTCCTTGTAGAAATTGAGAAGAGGGGTAGAGTTAAATTCACCACCGGGGTCAGAACGAATAATCTTCACCGTCTTACCAAACTGAGTCTGTACCATCTTAACAAACTCAAGTGCAATCCCACACAATTCAGATTTTTGACGCAGAAAATACACCCAACAATATCGGGTATAATGATCAATGAAAAGCGCGAAATAACGGTATCCCATCCTCGAGGCATTCGGAGGAGGACCCCACAAATCCGTATGAACCAAATCAAACGCTGCAGTATAAGATGTATCACTTGAACCAAAGGAAATCTGAGTTGTTTTCGCCTGAATACAACTAACACATGGAGAATCATAGAGAGAACCCGAATCAAGAATACCCGGGAGTAACTTATTACGAAACATAGTTTTCAATCTCAAAGAATGGGGATGACCCAATCGACAGTGCCACAAGTTCCAATCGTCAAGAGAAACCGAAAAAGATGCTAAGGCACGAACAACAGAAGGATGTCCATGATCAAACTCGGACAAAGAAGGAGATACAACGGCAACAGCAGCAGGTTGGACAGGTTGCAGCGCCTCCAATGTGTAAGTACGACCGCGTTTGACCCCTCTACCCACCATCTTCCCCGTGTTCCGATCCTGCACCACACACCCATCAGCATCAAAAATTACACGACAACCATCCTCGGCTAACTGACCCACAGAGGCAAGATTAGGGACCAGTTCCGGAACATATAGCGTATCAGAAAGAGTAATATGAGGCTGCTGAATAGTGCCCTTTCCATGAACAGAAAGACGGGCCCCGTTGGCTACTTGCAACTGAAGTGACGAGACCTTCTTCAAATTCATAAACTTATCTCGGAGACCAGACATATGATTATAAGCAGCTGAATCAAGATGCCATGAATGAGAGATACCTGAAGGATTGGCAGCCGAGAAAACAGATTGCAATGCCGAGGGGAGAACCTTCTGAAGAGCCGCTTGAACAAGCTGCTCTAGAGCTTCAGGAGAGAGGGAGGAGCTGGCTGGAGACGGACCAAGAAGACCTGCAGCAGGAGTGTTGGTCGAGGAGGCGGGCAGCTGCACGCCGTACGCAGGGACAGGTGCAGAAGGACGTGAGGCAGTATTCTTGCCGCGACGCGCCAAACTGGGACAATCAAGGACAATATGACCTTGAGTCTTACAATAGTTGCAGTAGTTTCGCTTCTTACAATGGAGCTGAACATGGCCGCGCTCCCGACAGTAATGACACTCAACATGAGGAGGAACAGGACGCTGAAATTGTGGTTTCCCGGACCTCCCAACAGCAAACGCTGAATCAGAATTGTACGAACCACGGTCGACTTGAGCCTGACCTCGAAGTCGAGATTCCTCACGAATGAGTTCAGCCACAGCATCATCAATTTGCGAGACATTACGATGGAGTAATGAAGCACGAACAGGTTCAAATTCGGGGCGCAGTTTAGTGAGAAACTGCATAAGACGAAGACGTTTACGCTCCTGAAGCATAGCCGGAGTGACCTGACCTTTGGTAAGAGCAACAGAAAGCATATCTTCTTCGGTCCAGAGATGGAGAGCCGATTGATAGTAACTGCGTATATCGGAATCACCCTGTGATAAATTTCCAATGGCATTGGAAATCTCGAACTGGCGCGAGGCACTCTCCTGGGAATGAAGAGCGCAGAGATGACGCCACATCTCGTGAGCAGTGGAGAACGATCGCAAACTGAGAGCAATGCTGGGATCCACAGCAGCGAGCAACCAGAACGTAACCTGAGCGTTGTTCGCAGCCCAATCAGCCTTTTCTTTGTCAGCGGCGGACTCCTCAGGTTTCACAGCAGTACCATCAAGGTACGAATACAATCGTTTCCCTTCAATAAAAACTCTGAATTGAAATTCCCAAAGAGGATAGTTCTTACCGTTGAGGCGGGTAGAAACAGCTTCCTTGAAAGAGTCCATAGCAATAGTCGAGGATAGCAAAGTACACAGAGACCACTAGCAGCAGCGCACAAGAAAGATCCAAAGGGAAACAAATGCCGCACAACCGAGACAAGAAGACAAAACCGTAGGCAAAATAAAGTGCAGCAGCAAGACAAAGAACCCAGCAGTACAAAGAAGAAGTCACGCAAGGCTCGAGCACGGCTGAACAATAATCCCAAGAACACTCGACGCACGGTGAGCAAAAGAGACGAATCAAACACGAACAGCCTCGCGAGGCTCTGATACC